GAAGTCCCATGTTCGGACTTCTCCTGAAAGTGAATTCATAAAAACGTTTTCAAGTCAATGACCAAGAAGGCATTGCCACTAAAATGTGCTGTTTATTGCTTTCCCACATTATTTCAATGCAGTATTTTCTCAGTCCTGTTTATCCAAATTTGCTTAGAATGGTATTGTACACCAATAACTTTCTCGACAATGAACGGATTTAGATAAATGAAAAATGTCATGGAATACCTCTATCGTTTCAACTCCAGGTTTTAGTAAAATACTGTAGAGTGAACCGCAATTTCTTCTTCTTCATCAGAAAACATTTTAAATGGTGAACGAAAATAATGAACAAATTTTAAATGGTTGTGTCCTCATTAACAGCACTTTGCGATGACAAGCAGCCAGTTAATTGCTATTTCAAATTTTTCAAGTGGTACACGATGCTAAAAGTACAGCATCACGGCATAATTACCAATTTAACCTTACAAAATATGCCCCAGATCCCTGATCGACGGCACGTGAATCAAACACATACAAACACGAAAATCGTGCGAATAACGTATACGATTCATGAAGTCATCTAGACTATCTTCTTCCAACAAAAAAAAAAATAGTGCATGTTCGTCGAAAAATACTGATATAGTTCGTATCTTTCGGGATCGGCTGAAATTCAAAGATCAATATCCATAGAAAAATCTAGCCAAAAAATTTAAAATGGGGTGAATCGAAACCCTGGGAGATCACTTGATGGGTGCGAAAAAATTTTCGCTGACGTGCTTTTCATCGCAGTGCTTATCGTTGGTAGCATCTTCATCTTCAGAATGTAGAGCATGATTCTTCAGTTCCCAAAGAAAAGAATACAATTTTCTTTTCAAACATCTTCAAAAAAATATGAAGCATTTTCACGCAGAAGGGAATAAAAAAAAAAAAAACACTACGTGGGTACGCCACAACCGGGATATTATACCAATAACTAGACCAATCCATTCATCGTTTCGCGTCCGAATCATTATTTTTCTTTTTCGCTTTCCCACTATTGCTTCCACGATTCATTCAGAAAACTCGAATGTAGTCCCTCGTTTCTTTTTCTCCGGGTTTCCTGGAGAATTCCGTGCCACGGTTCCTGGGCACGGTGGGAATCAGACTCGGGGATTTTCTCTGGGGAATCGCCGCGATGCGAAGCGCCCCCGCCTTCTCAAAAAACTGATACGCACAACTTCCATGTTCTCTTTCCCTCAATCCTCACACGTACAGTACATACACTACAGTACAGTGAAGTACAGTAGTGCATCCACACCGGAAGTCGACGCGAAAATCCGGTGTGGAAACCAGTTCAGCAGCCCGCCTGCAGCTGCGGTAGACGTCTTCCTTCCGACCGGCGAAATAAATTCGCGCCCAACGGCTTCTGCGGGACGAGTCCATCATCAAAAAAAAATAAAAAATAACGACGGGGAACTGGTAGGAGCATCTGAAATTCATGCACCCAGGTTATGGAGAATAAATGATGGATTGGTTTTGCGGAAAGCAAAATCAGATACTGCTTTTATACTGTGTGATGGGGAGGAAAAAAAGGGGGGGGGGGTTGTCTAGTTTCGTTGAATCCTTGTGTGGCAAAGTCAGGATATTTTTGCGAAATTTTGTTCCCATGAGGATTCGAAATAAAAGATGATTGTTTTAACCAAGGCACAAGTCAGGAAAAATTCCATTTTTTTTTTATAATCCTAAAGAAAATGTTTGCTTAAAAAAAAGTCCATTGGGTGGCATTTTTTCTGGTCTGGTTTTGAGCTAAATTAGCAAACAGGCTAATTTCCATGGACACAGCCAAATTGGTCAATTTTTTCAACTAAAATTACATCATAACAATATTTTTTGTATTCTTAACACATGGGTGGTGACACGGCAGAAGTAAAAAGGAGAAATCAGCAATATGCCGACTTTTTTCCATAGGATAAACAGTAAAATCTCATTACAACAAACTTCCAGGGACCTGATGAAAATTTGTTAACATGAAAAAAAATTTTGCATCAAGATTCATGAGTTTTTAACAAAGTTTAGCCTGAAATTTCGTGGATAAGTGGCAATAAATAATGTTCAGTGATTCCAAAAGAAAGAATTCAAAACGTAGCATAATTGATGAGCATTTCTGTTGAAATCAAGAGAAACCTTTCGAAATACAGTATATACAGTAGTGCTTTCCTTTCATTAACCCTTGGGCAGTGGAGAGTTTCTGGCCGCAAAGTTGGAATTTTTTCATGGGGAGGGGCATTTCAGTTTGACCAAAGGTCACTGAGATGCCCCAGGTTGCCAAGGCCTAAGTCAAGAAAAATACACTGATCCAGGTACAGAAAATCCCATTGTCTCAAGAAATCCTCCATGTTAATTCTATACTGGGAATTCATGAAAAAATGCCACCCAATGAGGAATTTTTTTCAAGCCAAAATTTTCTGCAGGATTATAAAAAAAAAGGAATTTTTCCTGACTTAGGCCTTGGATAAAAAATCATATTTTTTATTTGCAATCCTCATGGGGACAAAATTTCGGAAAAAATATCCTGACTTTGCCACACAAGGGTTCAACCTGCCTTTGTACTAAAGTATTGCATGTCTTGAAAAATAACAAGCAACAGTATTGCATGTGGTAGAAATACTGTACTGTACTTCCGTCTGAATCAACTTATTCAATGATGATGATCTGCTCTTTAGAATCAAGGAAAATTTTCAAACATAATGTTTATTTGTAAGAATGTCACAAATTCTAAAATGGGAGATAAAAAATTGTTCAATGTTGTATAGCGTATTTGTTGAACACAGATTTTTTTCTACTTGGTTTCTTCGTTGATGAAGTTAGGATGATACAAATTTTAATTTTTCCTAATTTTCTGCCATTTATCAAATACTCCCTGTGGACTATGCAAAGAATCATGGCCAACAATTGGTTATAATGAGATTGAGGCCTAAAATTAATTTGTTCAAACAATATTTTAATAACTTAATGCCCATGGGAAACTGCCAGGACCAATAAAAATTTTGTTGTAACGGAGTTCTACTGTATTTTTGTCTTTCAATGAATTTTCTAAATCATTGATTTTTTTCTAGAAAAAGAAAATTGACGCAGAAATATTCTGTGTATGCAGTACAGTAACATTTCTCCAAATTGTAACGAAATATAATTTTTGTCAGACAAAAATTAATCTTCTTTATCATAGTGTACAATAATTCCTGTAACAATTCTTGACTAAAAAGGAACTAAAACCTGATTTCAAAACGTGTCTCAACATACTGTATATCCCACAAAAGCACGAACTTCCCGGTGACGATTACCGGGGCAATTCTCTCGCCATTGCCGAAGCTCGAAGCAACCGGATGCATTTTAATTTTCCGTTTCACAGATCGCAGCGGAAAAGATTTGCGGAAAATGCTCATTAAGGCGGAAGGGAGGCTGAGGAAGAATTCTCCCGAAGAAATGAGCACCGGGCCGGAAACCCTACACAATTATCAACGGCTTCCGAAATAAATAAAAACAGTCCTTCCCGGATGCGAGTGGGATGACTTTTTGGTCACCGGACCGCAAATGCAAAATCGGTGAACGAACCTACCTTCATCCTTATGTACGGGAAGTGAAAGATCCGCAACGATCAATTTACGCTTTTATGGCCTTTTATTTCCATCAATGTCCGGTCTCCTTTGCCTCCTCTTCATCGTGACGAGGGGGAACACACACAGGAAGAAACGAAAATGATTGAACGAACGACATTCATGGAGGGTCAGTTTTCCAAGGAAGTTTCATTCGAACTGTAGAACTTCACTATATCAAAGAGGTACTGTACATGGAACATGAGCATCACCCGGAAAACTGCAGTGATCAGTGCTACTTTAAAAATTTGCCGAATATTTCACTCCATGCGACTGAATTTGCACAGGGGAAAAGTTCGGGTTGCAGTAAGCACAGAATGACGGCCATTTTTATGTAATTTAATGCTGGACTCCATTAAAAAAAATGCATCATGCATTTTGCCCGGCATTATTGCAGGCTTCGAAATACAGTGGATTAAGAAAACCTGTTTATGGATCAGAAATACGGTACAACATTTTGTACATGATAAATTATACCAATTTTTCATGAAAATTTTGCATTGTACGCTATCAATGCAGTGGTCTGTGCAGTATCAAGTTTTACTGTGTCGTTTTGGGTCGGCTGCGCATTTTTAGAAATTCATGTTGGCTTTTGTTTATTCATCATGCGCAAAAGTTTTGTTTAAATCCACTGCAATAATCGTGCAACACATGATGAGATACAATAGAGAAAACAAAGTAGACACGAAGAGGGTTCAAAGAGTTATTGTGTTTCTTTCGTGCATCTCGCGTCCGAACGGTTTTTTTGCTGGACATTTTTATTGCTCACGAAGATACACGAGAGGCATTGTTATTCCATTTTTCAAGTAAAGTGATAGTCAAACCAAATTTCGGCCAACACATCCAATATTCTGTCATACAGATTTAAATGGGGTAGAGGAAAAAAGAGAACAGATGCAAATTGAAATTAAAAACAACGGTTATGCTCTTTTCGGTCCAAGTTCTGACACGAGTACTCCTTGAAATATCAACCGGTTCAACATGTCTGTATTTGAAAAGAATCCTAGTATACCGTATCCTACAAAATGAAAAAAAGGATCGCTTCAAGTTTTGGTATTGATCCCCGAGTGGTTTGGAGCATCTCCTGCGTTTGGGTACCAAAATAACTTTCAGGCGAAATTTCAGCACTACTTCGATTTATGGAATGATAGTTAAAAGTCTATACGAAATGGTACCAAAATAACTTCCTTATGAGGCAAAATTTCAGCAGAGCTTCAATTGATGAAATCATGCGTTTAAAATCTATTCGAACTTAGGAGGACATTGAACAGCGCGAAAGTTAATTATACTACATAGTCGCGTCATGTGAAATTACGGTATGCTTTTCCTCAGTTTGAAAAACTCTCATTAAATTCTTCCAAGCTACTGGCAAAATTTTCCAATTACTCAGACGTCCTTTCCAGTCACGTATTTTTCATACGACCGGTCGACGGAACAGAAGTTCAGAGTCGAGGATACGACATCTTCATCCGGATATGAGAGAGGAAAAACGTTTGGAGCAACGACAAAAAACGGTTTTGCAATCGGCTTGCCATTCGAACTGAGGGGGAGCAGACAACGTCACCCGTGCAAAACAGAAAACGCATACGACGGGGGTGCAAAAAAAAAAAAAAAACTATGCACAGTATTTACTGAATATTTATACTGTGTATGAAGGAAAATAAGCAGGAAAGAAAAAAGGGAAATCGTGGAAAGAAAGCCCGGAGGAGCCCCCCGGATGCTCGGCAAATAACCGGAACTGCGCAGCCGCCCCCGCGCGCGCACACATTCCACCGTGGGAAAACTGGTGGCGGCGGCGGCGGCGGCTGCGACGGCCGTGACTTCCTTCCACTTCTCCAAACCCCCCCTCTCCACCCCAAAGCAAAAAGCCTGTTTCGTCAACCTCACTTCCCTGCTTAAATCCTCCCTTTTTTATTTTCCTGTCTCTTTCTTCTCCTTGTTAACTCAAATCCTGCTTCAAGTGACACGGCGTACGAAGACTGGATGACGACTGGCTGACTGACTGACTGACTCCCTCACTGAGTGACTGACTCGGCAATCGGATCTCCTCTTGTTTCTCGAGGCCCGCGGGGGTCTTTCCTGTGGAAGGAAAAGCGAAAAGCACCCGCAATTGGTCGAGGGGATGTGATGATGTGAGTGTAATGAACCCGTGAGGAAATGAATGAAAGTTTATCCACCACGCCTTCCTGGTGACTGAAGTGAAAACGCTTGAACGTGATCGAGCAGATGATTAAAAAAGGCACGTCTGAGTAATTGGAAAATTTTGCCAATAGCTTGGAAGAATTTAAAAAGAGTTTTTCAAACTGAGAAAAAGCATACCGTAATTTCACATGACGCGCCTATGTAGTAAAATTAACTTTCGCGCTGTTCAATGTCCTCCGCAGTTCGAACTGATTTCGGATAGATTTTAAACGCATGATTTCGTCAATTGAAGCTCTGCTGAAATTTTGCCTCACGGAGAAGTAATTTTGGATTCATTTTCGCCCATCATGCGGCCATGACAAATTACTGTAATATACTGCAGTCTAAAAAAATGTTCCCCAACCCGTGGTCCGCGGACCGGCGCTGGTCCGCAATAGTTTTTTTGCCGGTCCGCAGGAAATTTTCGGCTTAATAAATGAATGAAAAGCAGCGATGAAGTCCGTTATCTTCACAAAAAAAAATTCTGAAGGACAATTGCAGTTACATCGAAATTATCTGATGAAAATTGAAGGTTGGCTTCTCACCGTAATAACACACCCGACAAATTTTCACCTTCAGAAATAAATTATTTTCATTTTGAATTCTGAGAAACCTTTCTTCAAGCCCCCTTTTAATTAATTTTTTTTGACATACAGCTATGAATTAGCTGCTTCATTGGTTCTCAACTCAATTGCAAAAACTTTTGTTGCCTGCCATGAAGCCTTTGAAGGAAACCTTGTGTGAGTCTGCAAAATTTTCACAAAACTTTCCCGGTCCGCGGAAAAAGTTTTGGAAATCTGCCGGTCCGAGAAAAATGCGATGCAAATTTACCGGTCCGTGGGCCCAAAAAGGTTTGGGAACACTGTTCTGCACAGGTGCAGACTCCGTCTACAATAATACGGTCTTCAGAGAAATTCAACACTTTTTTGTTTGCCTTTCAAATCTGCCCAACCACAAACCCCTCTGAGACGTTTGCATTCAACACGTTAGGTTCTCTGAGGATAATTATATACCGAGAGTCGAACCAAAGCTACACCAACACTGACAAATCGTTTCTGAAAATTAAATTGGAAAAAACACAGAAAAACATAACTACCACAAGCTCCCAAATTTGAAGGGCCAACCCCCGTGCCTTCTCTACAAGCATATAATTTATCATGCAATCAAATGTGAAAAGGGAGAAAATTCCTGGCAAAATAATCTCATAGTGTCACACATGCATTTAACCCACATTAACATGGTCCTGACTCAAAATTGAAAAAAATATTGATCGCGTTTTTATGCACTGCAGATGCATGTCTTCCTGTAGCCCAGGAAAAGCTCGCCCAGGATTAAAAGAAAAAACTTGCCACCAAAAACAGTTGAAATAAGACTTACATTGCAAAAAATCGAGTGGATTACCGGGGTTTCCAAACAAAAAAACAAGGTGTTCTTACTCTTCCCGAGTGGACTCATAATTGGTATGAGTTCTATGTTTTAGAATTTAGATGATACAAACGGAGAATAAACGCAAGATTTTCAAAATCTTCGTTAATTCATGAGTAATTTCAAATCTGCAGGGTCTTACACAGTATTTTTTCCTAAATTGTACCATTCTCAGTGGGATTCGACATTACAGCATGCATACAATCTCTGGAATACCAAGTACAGAAATTAAACTGTTTTAACTTCCGACATACTTTGTACAAGTTTTAATACAGTACAGTACACTATACTGTATTTGCGAAATATTTTTTGCATACAAATTGATGCACGCAAGTTTCCAATGTGTCCTTCACACAAGTATACATAATCAAAATAATAAGTCTCACAACCCATATCTTCGTCACATTTTTAATACGTTTTTGTTCACATAATCCAATTCTTATTTCAACTTACATGCCACTCCTTCAAGTCTATGGCGAGCACGCTTGAGTACCAAGGAAATCTTGCGTACGACCTGATAGCGTGCTTGAATACTGTACTACAGTACAAATTCTACGCTTTCCATTATGGTACAGTATTTGAAAAAGACCTTCATCTTCCTGCGTGTGAGAAGCTTATTGAAAATATGAATTTTATTCGGGACTTTTTGTCTCCCCAAGCAGAGGAAATTACAAATACTTTATATCGTGATCAAAATCACATTTCGGCGGAGTGCTTAAGGTATTGGAGAGGATAACAGTTTCAAAATTACTTAGTTTTCAAAAATGGCTACGGCTCGATATAATCCTTGGAGAAACGGGACTGAGACCTACATAGTAGTAAATTACAGCATTTCCTTTCGACTTGGGGTCAGCCGGTCAGCGCAATCGATTGCTATGGAAAAAAACTTTTACTTGAATTTTACTTGAAGGTGTTCAACTGCACCGTATGTTAAAAATACAGGGGCACTCTTTCAACAAACATCTTGTCCACGACAAGATTTTTTTGCATAGAACAAATTTTTTGTGTTTCCATGGGGGTCTCTCCCGGTGTTGAAGGGGCTTCTACAGCGAAATTCTCTCTACAACGATTTTTCTGGTCCCTAGAATTTCATTGTGGAGAGAGTCAGCCCGCATACACACTACTGCATAGATACTCATGGACTATCACTCTCCCAAATAGAAAATTGAAAGGTAATACAGTATTTGTTGCAGAGAGCATTTCGTTGTGGAGAACCCCTATAACATGGGGGGATAACCCTATGGGGCAGGAAAATATCCTAATGTATAAAATATAGCTGTAAAGAGATTCCACCCGTACCTTCTATAAGTGCGTCATTGGGTGACTTTTTTTTTTTTTACCATGATGAGGCAAAATTCCCCCGACTCAAAAAATTTCCAGGTCAATGTTTTTTTTTTCTGGAGGTTTTTCAACTTTGACTTGTAGAGGTTCAACTTTACAATACTGCATGTGTGATTAAAAAATAAATAAGTATGCTTTTTTGGACAAGTGCAGCATCGGGTGACATTCGCAGTACCCGGGAAATTATCCCCGGGGCAAGCCGTGCTTTTCTCGGCTTCCCTTTCCTTCCCCCCCTCCGCGCAGCTCAGAGGGGGGTTTCTTCCACCTGCTTCTCCCCCACCTCTAGGTTCCCCCCATTCATGCACCCAGAGCCGCTCATTCACGAAATTCCATCCCTCTCGCGCCCCCATCCATTCAGCTCATCCCCGTGGCCCCCACTTTTTTGCATACTCTCGGGTTTCAGCCATCAAATCCCTGACTTCCGGGGGAGAGGAGCGTGTGTGTGTGTGTGTGTGTTGGGGGGGAAGGTGCAGGTGGACCCGGACTTTAGACGGATACCAGGAAGGTTGCCTGGGAATGAATCCGTAACTTCCGACCGGGCATTTATTGCACCCCCCCCCCTCCCCCCCATCCCGGGGTTTCAATTGGAAGGACGATTTGAGAGCTTTTCTTCGGATGTTGTCGTTCCAGGGGGGGGGGGGGCATTGAAAATTATGCACAGTGCATATATACCCTTGCGGTGTCACGGTTTCATCAATCTTTTGTTCGTTCTTTCTTTCGAAAGAAATCCATGTACGTATGCGAATAGTGAGTAAGCATCGTCATGGGAAACCAGTGAAATTTGTTCCTCCCCCCAAACGTTCCCGCAAGATAATTCCGCATAGCGATGGAAATAACAAAACACTCCAGCATTGGTGATTCACTCGGGGAAAAAATCAAGTGGAACTGAAGCTAATGACTGATATAACTTGTTTGTTTGCATCTCCATCTGGTCACTTAAGCCAGACTTTAAATTGCAATCGAGCAGTTCCTCTACAATACAGTACATGTATTATTATTATTTTTGCATCGGTATAGCAAATTATTGTTTGGTTCAGAAATCGGAGCCCACTATACAGTGAGACCCCCAGATGCGGACATAATTGGTGCATCAAGAGTGTCCCTATGCGGATTGTCCCCAAGTCAAATTTTGTTTTCCCATAGACTTACATTGTATAATTTTTAATTGGAGTTTTATGGAAGAAACATTCTTCAGAATTTCATGAAAAAAAAATTTTGCCACTTGAATTTGATTCAATGAATATCCTTTCAAACCATCCAAAGAATTTTTCTAGCAAAGATCTTAGGTTGGAAACATCTGTTTCTTGCAATTAAGCCTTATAAAAATCGATTTTCCTAAAATTTATTTTGGAATTTTATCCTGCGATGTCCCCAGGTCGAGTAAGTGTCCTCATGTTGGTTCCTTTTTATTATTTTGTTGTTGAAAAATAAATGTCCCCATGTCGAGGCGTCCGCATGTGGGGGTCTCACTCTAATTGCTAGCTTTCATTTGTGAAACGGATCTTCCGTCACACACAAAAAAAGACTTCAGCTGCACCCTGCTGCATATATATACAGTATTTTTTAATAATATTTCTCTCACATACATATTGTACTGTATTTACTTGAGTACCAAACGTCATTGAGTGAGATGGGCACCTTAATTTTTTGATAACATAGAATTCGACCAAAAAACTTTCCCCGGGTATGACACGCACTCAAGTTTTCCCCGGTTTGAAATGTACTTTATTTCTTCAAATAATCATGTTCTAGTAAATAATCACGGAAATAATCATAACGCATATGGACTCTCTCTACAACATGAAGCCCTTTTCTTGGTTCCCATAGGGTTCTCTTCTCATGTTATGGGGTTATCTACTGTGAAATTCTCTCTATAACGAACTTTTTTCTAGTACACGTACCTTGAATTTTGTCGTAGAGAGTCCCCATGTAACATTAAGTAATACAAGAGGATAAGCGCAAAGCACAATCTCGTAGTTATTCATCAATCTCCTTCAACGATTCCCCTATGACTAGCACCACAGGTTTTGTGATCTTCTTGTTTCATAATTTTTTGGTAGAGAAAGTCCACCAGTAAGTTAAATTAAAACTACTGAATATAGGAGAATAAGTAATGAATAATAATTTTGTATTTGTAATTACAGTGCTGTATTTTCTTCAAATACTTCCTTCCGACTAGCACCGCAGGTTCCATGATTTTCTTGCTTTAAAAAAAGATGTATACCTGCATGTCACAGACAATTTGTGCAGAAATTTCTGCCCAAATTTCGCAGAAAATAAAAGGTGCACGTGGTGCTCGGGCACATCCGGTATTTATATGATCTTACCTTTCGCATAATCTCAAGTAAAGGTCGCTATGAACCCACGTTGGACCTATTCTCAAAAAACTCTCGAGAGTTTTAAAGCACATTTCAGATAAAGTGCGGCCTTCACCTGCGTGAAAATGGCAATCGCCGTTTTCGTGCTTCCCGTCAGGATGCCTCCTGAACCAGTGAGAGAGAGAGAGGGGGGCTCGTTATATGTTTCCGGTCTTCAAAAGAAACGCTGCTGGCAAGAGGCGCCTGCCTTCACTCTCGGGACCCTCACTACAAGGCTTTTTTTTTTCTTTTCCCCCACCACCACCAGGTAGACGCGAAAAGAGAGGACTCTAAGCCGGGTTTAGTTTTTGAAAGAAAAAGAAAAAGTCCTCTTCTTCTTCTCCTACTTACCCTCCCAACACCTCACGTTTTCTCTCTCCCTCTCTCTCTCTTCTCGGCTGTTGCGACTTCCGGCTCGTGCATAAATCAAGGCAGCGAGGATCAGCGGGCTCCGCGAACCGGAAATGACAGCGCCGGTTTTTCTTTCTTCAATGAATGGCGCTGAGGGGCGAGGCGAAAAAAAAAATTACAAAAGGAATCAGTGCCAGTGGGGGGATTACGGCGCGAAATGGCGCAGCAAAATGCCACGCTGCTTGGGATCAATCGTGAGCCCGTGACCGCGTTCTTGGTCTGTGATGGGCGTGGGGGGGTCATTTGCACAGTGGAAGGCCCCAACATGCGGACGATTCAACTTAGGGACACCTGGAAAATCTGCTTCCCTTGTAGCCAGAAGATGTCTCCGAGATATGGACACGACCAACATTCATCGGCGATTGGAAAATATTTATTTTTTTTTTAAGTTTGGATACGTCTTGAATAAATGGAGCTTTTCATACAGTATACACAAAAATTTAAGATACATTTCATTACGGACTTACTTTCATTCATAGTTCGAAACATGGTAATTTTGTGCTTTTTTTTTCAAAGTCCGTCTCATCATCTGAGCATGTTTATACAGCATAAAGACTTCTGTGTGCTCTTTATCTTTTGGGCCCCTTTTCACGCCAAAAATAAGATTATGTGTGGTTTTTCTGCACTTTCATTTTCGGCATTTTGGAGTTGAAAAACGGGGACTTTATTTTAATTTTTTGGACACATTTTTCATAGTNAGACTTCAGCTGCACCCTGCTGCATATATATACAGTATTTTTTAATAATATTTCTCTCACATACATATTGTACTGTATTTACTTGAGTACCAAACGTCATTGAGTGAGATGGGCACCTTAATTTTTTTATAACATAGAATTCGACCAAAAAACTTTCCTCGGGTATGACACGCACTCAAGTTTTTCCTGGTTTGAAATGTACTTTCTTTCTTCAAATAATCATGTTCTAGTAAATAATCATAACGCAGATGGACTCTCTCTACAACATGAAGCCCTTTTCTTGGTTCCCATAGGGTTCTCTTCCCATGTTATGGGGTTATCTACTGTGAAATTCTCTCTATAACGAACTTTTTTCTAGCACACGTACCTTGAATTTTGTCGCAGAGAGTCCCCATGTAACATTAAGTAATACAAGAGGATTACTTACATTAAGTAATACAAGTAATACTGAATATAACAGAATACGTAATGAATAATAATTTTATAAACATTAATGTCACGACATAAAAGAAGTTTATGAAGGAAGGCTGATCGTGGCGTCCAAGGTACTAAAAGAACGAAATTTTTTTCTACATATGGACGTACAGTGTCTGTTAAACACGTCTTTAAACTGCCCAAATTTCGCAGAAAATAAAAGGTGCACGTGGTGCTCGGGCACATCCGGTATTTATATGATCTTACCTTTCGCATAATCTCAAGTAAAGGTCGCTATGAACCCACGTTGGACCTATTCTCAAAAAACTCTCGAGAGTTTTAAAGCACATTTCAGATAAAGTGCGGCCTTCACCTGCGTGAAAATGGCAATCGCCGTTTTCGTGCTTCCCGTCAGGATGCCTCCTGAACCAGTGAGAGAGAGAGAGGGGGGCTCGTTATATGTTTCCGGTCTTCAAAAGAAACGCTGCTGGCAAGAGGCGCCTGCCTTCACTCTCGGGACCCTCACTACAAGGCTTTTTTTTTTCTTTTCCCCCACCACCACCAGGTAGACGCGAAAAGAGAGGACTCTAAGCCGGGTTTAGTTTTTGAAAGAAAAAGAAAAAGTCCTCTTCTTCTTCTCCTACTTACCCTCCCAACACCTCACGTTTTCTCTCTCCCTCTCTCTCTCTTCTCGGCTGTTGCGACTTCCGGCTCGTGCATAAATCAAGGCAGCGAGGATCAGCGGGCTCCGCGAACCGGAAATGACAGCGCCGGTTTTTCTTTCTTCAATGAATGGCGCTGAGGGGCGAGGCGAAAAAAAAAATGACAAAAGGAATCAGTGCCAGTGGGGGGATTACGGCGCGAAATGGCGCAGCAGAATGCCACGCTGCTTGGGATCAATCGTGAGCCCGTGACCGCGTTCTTGGTCTGTGATGGGCGTGGGGGGGTCATTTGCACAGTGGAAGGCCCCAACATGCGGACGATTCAACTTAGGGACACCTGGAAAATCTGCTTCCCTTGTAGCCAGAAGATGTCTCCGAGATATGGACACGACCAACATTCATCGGCGATTGGAAAATATTTATTTTTTTTTTAAGTTTGGATACGTCTTGAATAAATGGAGCTTTTCATACAGTATACACAAAAATTTAAGATACATTTCATTACGGACTTACTTTCATTCATAGTTCGAAACATGGTAATTTTGTGCTTTTTTTTTCAAAGTCCGTCTCATCATCTGAGCATGTTTATACAGCATAAAGACTTCTGTGTGCTCTTTATCTTTTGGGCCCCTTTTCACGCCAAAAATAAGATTATGTGTGGTTTTTCTGCACTTTCATTTTCGGCATTTTGGAGTTGAAAAACGGGGACTTTATTTTAATTTTTTGGACACATTTTTCATAGTTTTTGATCCAAAGGAGAACTACTTAAATTATAACATCCTTAGGGCCCCATTGTATTCTTTTTGCAGAGGACGGGGCTTTTTGATCAGGTGTACGTCGAACCATTAGGGGTAAACCTACATGAACCTCGAAAGGTGGCACGCAAGTGAATAAAGCTTTCAAAAAATGTATACAGTATATGTATATAATTTGGTTTTCGAAAATTCTTTGAATTTGAGATGAGCTGGTGCGTCCGTATGTCAGAAGACCTTCGAAAATTCAATGTTAATTAATCTTCTTCGGTAACCGTGAAAGAGAATACGGTAATACGCACTGATAAGCCCATAAAGTGACTCCAGTTCATATGCAGTACTTTTTACTGTACCTTGGAGGTGGGACACGATTTTCTTGCAAAGGATGGGGATTCTCAATCAGGCGTACGTCGTACCATTTGGGGTACAAATACATGAACCCCGAAAGGTGGCACTCAGGTTATTGAAAGCTTCCAGAAATGCTTCAAATGCGAGGTATATTTTTAATAAAATTTATTTTGCATTTTTGTGAGTATAAAAAACTCTATTTATTCAAGAGATATAAAAATTCTGAAAAAATAAAATTTTACAATTGTCGAGAAATGGTGGTGGTGTTTCTGTATGTGGAAAGGCCTTTGGAAATTTAATGTGAAACCATTCGTTTTCGGAAATCGTAGAAGACCACTGACAAGCCCATAAACCGAGTTCGTTTCGTATGCAGTACTGTACCCGGAAAGTGGTATTTCAACATTGAAATACCTTCAAAGAAAGGAGAAAATCCATTACAGTAGAAGATATAAAAGCCACGCTGAGGGTGAATTCACGCAAAAAATACCGCATTCACGCGACTTTAGGCCTCGTAATTTCGAGAATCCTTTCCAAAGGGATGATCACGAATTTGGCGGAGAAAAATGCGGTCTATAAAAACGAAAGGAATGACATTTGCTTCATGAGTTTTCCAGCAGCAATTTTTCTCACTCAGAAAGTCGGCAGGTTGCGTAAAAAACCATGTTGACTTTTTTGCATATCAAATTCCAAGAATATTTTCATAAATGGAAAAACCCTTCACCAAAAATGCATATACACTTATACAGCCCTGAAAAGTTTCAAAATACGGTAAAATTTGAAGTCTAAATTTTATGATCAATGCATCGAGAAAAAAGGGGCCATCTCAAAGTTTACCTCGATGTATTTATTATCGCATAAAGGTAAAAAACACTTAATAATTCTACGCTCGTATGTGGTAATAGTGAGAATAGTGGGAAAACGTTTTGGGTTACTCTATCAAGGAAAAAAAGATACTGTAAACATTTATTGACATACGAATACCACGTCAAAAGCTAAATTTTTTGTTCAACAATTGAGCTTTTGCTACTACTTTTTTTTAGTCACCCTTATGTGGCTCTTTTAAACTTAAGCAAACTATGGAAGGCTGAGGTATTAATGACTTAACTTGACTTTTTTATGGGGAAGACGCGCTGAAAACTACGTATAAAGGTAAAATTAGAATAAAACGAGGGCTAATGGATAACAAAAAAAATTTAATGCTTTAAAATTAGGGGGAGGAAATAAACCAATAGAGTAAAATTGAAAAAGATGATTGCTCTCATTCTATGATGAATCATTATCGCCAATATCTCGCATAGAGCTTACAAATGTCGCCCTTATAATTCATCTGGAAAAGTCATCTTCACATTTTCAGTTCATCATCATCGCGAGAGATTCCGATTTTAAAATTCAAACCTCATTTCCTCTAGAACAATTTTGTAAAACATGGGGAATATCGATTAAGTTTTATTATCAGTTATGAAGTACAGCCAAATCGCTAACATTTACTTAATATGGATCAGAGCGCTTCATCGAGAGAGGGTTACCGAGAAAAATGAAAGCTTTTACTACTCAATTATTTTCGACGGCGTGACATGAGTTGAAATCGTTTCCTCGAAGTTGTGAATACTTTACGGCAAACGTTTCTGCCGATTTTTTCAGAGAAACTTGAATACGTAATAAAATGTACGAAAGATATTAATGGAAGAAACTTACACGCATACAGATGAGTATCCACGATTATCGTCGGCATTATTTTGAACACGAGAGTATTGAAATACGGTTAAAAGTTCTCAAAATACTGTAATGTACTCGCAACATGTTCGGGGGTTTTCCAAATCCAAGAGATAATCTTGGGATGGACCAGGCTGAAGAGCACAGTTCAATTTAAACGTATCTAATCTTCTTACTAGGAATATTGAAGGGAAATTCCGTAATGAACCTAGCCATAGAGCACGAGCATAAATGCCTCATCACAAAAATAATTGCGGTACAGTAATTATCTTTCGAGGGCGGTTTCTGGTTGACCACTTCCTGAAAACGCTGTTTAGTATTTGAACTACCTTCTGCTTGGATTTTTCGAAAACTCAATCTCAAAACATATCGCCAGATATTTTGACTACGTTTTGTCAACTTTAAAACTTTCAGATGCCTCGATATGTACGAAATACAGTACAGTAATAAACAGTAGTACCCTCGTTTGACAACCACTTCACACGACAGCTTCTGCTTCGAAGCATTATTTGCGTGATCATCCATGAGATTATTTGAAGCTGATGCAAGCAAATAAGATTCCAACCCTCATTGTTAAATCCAGAGAATAAAACAAATTTGAAAAACTTCATCGTGGAGCAAAAATTAATGCAGGTTTCTTCGTACAATATGCAGTTTGCTTAGAATATTAGCCTCACTGTGTTTGGAATCAATTCAAGATGTAGCTGGAAGATCACAGAAATGTCACTCGGCATTAAAATTGAAGCAGGCATACCTTTAAAAAGCCAACTATTCAGGAAAATGGCTTGGGCAAACAAAAACAACTTTGGAACAGTAGTAAGCCAAAATATAAATTACAATATTTCTTGTTTAGTACCACGCGCACATTTCTTTTTCTGAAAATTGAAAGGAAAAATGGGGTTGTGCATCATAGGCAGAGGCATGCAATTTTCAAATTTTTCATAAATTTACTTGTGCATTATACTTGATTCTAATGGGAATTTTTTGATAAATTTCATCAGAAAAACGTATTTGCACGGGAACAATCCAAACTTGCTTGAATTCAGGCTCAATTTGTATCTAAATCCAAATTTGGGTTTTCATATTTTTTAGAATATTGCAGTTTCAGGAGTCACTAAAAATGGGGTGCGCGTCTTAGGGAATACAATTTAATCAGAATTTCTGAAAAATATGGGTGCATGTCTTACTACAAAGAATATGAGTACTCAGTACTGTACAATTTAACCTTGATAATTTGAAACTCCTTAAATGGAAAACATCCCTCAGTCAATATTTTGTCAAGTCCCTGACTAAATTCCCTCAAGAGATAATGCATTGAAAACCTCCTCTACTCGAAGGATTTTCCTCTCACACCTCCATAACTCAAATTTTCTGGAGTCTTTTTGCCATTATCATATTGACACAGGAAATATAAAACAAATAAAAATGTAACTTATGTGTTCCAAAGGGAAGTGAAAGATTAATCAGGCAAATTAAGCCTGGCCTCCAAGTGCAGCACGCAATTTAGGGCCCAGAAAATCATTAATTATAATTTCCTGTCATTCTTCCTTTCCCCCAACAAATAAACTTGCTTCCTCGACTCAAAGCCTCCCTCAAATTAAAAATCTCCTTAAGTCGACTTTTGTCACTGGTCCCTTGGAATTCCACTCAGAGAGGTTTGACTGTGCAGTATTTAATGCTTTGGTGACGTTTTAAAATACTGTGCAGTGAGTACGAAATAATGCTTACAATGGTTTTGAGTTTAAGCGAATGCCCTCGAGTTGGTCCTCAAAACATTGCGACTCATCTTGAAAGTGGTTCAGTACAATCCACGAACAATTTTGAAGAGATCTGCACCGGGCTTCCTCACCCTGCCATATCGCACCAGTCAATTACTCTGCGAAGCACCGAAGGACGAACAAGAAAGATGATCGAGAATGAGAAGAAGAAGAAGAAGAAGAAGGAAACAAGAAAGAGGGTAAAAAATAGAATACGTTTTCTTTCTGACTGACTGACTGACACGGACTGAATGAGAACAGCCCGCGTCGTCATGCGAACGACGGACGGACGGAAAGGAAAAAGAAGTTTTCGCGCCGGCTCAGCCGCCGCCTTTCCCTCCCACACGCTGCATTTTTGTGAATGAAAAACGCGGCTTTTTCTGGTTCACTGCTGGACCCGCTATTCCCAACACCACCTTATACATGTGCCACACATGTGCACTGGTCAGGCACGGGAAGGAAGAAGAAGTAAAAACTGCACCAAATGAAGCCATTGCCTGGCACTTGGCAACCGAGGCATTAGTATTTCTCAACATACTTTCCGCAGAATTCCAGGTGCATTCATTCTCGGCCGCGGGGGGACACTTTCCTCGAAGGCGTCTTTCTTTCTTTCTTCCTCTTCAGGGCATTAGATTTCAGCAGTGGACTATTTCGACATTTATTGGACGGATTTCCTTCTGATTTCGATGTGGTGCGTGAACACTCCTGCCTGTGGTTAGTTGGATGTTCCTCGGGTAGTGGTTTTTAAATGAATGGTTTTTGAATTTGAAATTAGGGACAAAATAGATCAAATTGAAAATAAGCGGGGTATCCTGACGAATCGTGGAATCGCACGAGTCAAATACAGTAATTGGAGTACAGTAATTGCATCTGGAATTCTAAATTTCGGTTCCTCGACTTTCTGTAGGCAAGAATTCCTGGAACACGGATTCATGTTGTTATTGTCAAGAATAATGCATTTGTGAAATATATATGGTACTTTGGTCGAATGCATGTAATTTACTGTACTGTAATTACTTATCCGAAGGTGAACACAAAATCTAACCCCAAATAAGTTAAAGTATGCTATATATTTTCTTGAGTACCATATGCACCCGTGAATAAGACTTGCGCCTTCATTTCGCAGTGGAAAATTTTGGCAAAAATAAGCTCTTTGAGCAATAAAAAAAATGTATCCCAGTAAAAGGCGCGTATTCCAGATTTTGTTGACCAATAAATTCAACATGGATACACACATTTGAAAATTTTAAAAAGTTGAAAATTTGTATCAGAGCCAAATAGAAAGCAATTTCCTTGACGAACTTTTACGTGAGCATCCCAAATTTTTTTTCGAAATTCTTTCCTGCAATTAGAGTGGCGAACACATCAAAGTTTCGAAATACAGGTGGAAAATCTCTACAATGATCTTGCCTACGACGAATTTCGATACATCACGATTTTTTTCTTCAGTACCATATGCATAAAATACTCTCCCCATGTAACAGGGATTCTCTACAACAAAATTCTCTCTAGAGCGTGTTTTCTTCTATTGTTCCTTGAGTTTTGCTGTAAAGAGAGTCAGCCTGTGTTTGAAAAATGTGTAACTAGGTACATGTACAAGGCACATCACATTATTTGATAGATTTCTGGGAAAAGGTGCAGATGGTATTCAAGTAGCCTTTCTGGAAAGTGTTAACGCATTGATGAAATTAATGAAAAAATTAACAGTCCAGGTCATGCCGCAACTCTTCCCGAAAGTGAGGATCTTTTCGACACCATCATTTTCGATAACCTTCAACAATGGCGTCCCGTTCAGGAAAAAAATATATGAATTTATGGTAGGCGTAATTTTTTTTTCTTTCCTCTTCTTTAATTTTACCTGCCACGCTCAAATGCCGTTTCAAATTTTAAAAAATGCGAGGCGGAATTGGAACATTTGGTGGAATTCTTGACGGGCACATTGAGTAAACTCAGGCTAGATCGAAGCGAAGACTAATACCGAACGGCATTCTACAACGCAAGAAAAAAAATGCGTACCCTGGAGAGCACTAATACCAACGATAAGTCTGAATGACGAACTGCTGCTTCGCCGTTAAGCACGGGGGGGACAAGGAAGCTCTTCTTCCCACGTGCTTTCCATTTACGGTAAAATATCATGGAGTAAAGGGAGAGGGGGAGGAAAAGGAAGGGAAAAAAAAACAAATATGATCCATTGAGGAACATTTTCCGTCGCGTGCGACTTTTTTCCCAGTCACGGTGACAAATTACGAGTCATTTGCTCCACCGGTGATCCACCGACTTCCGGTTCCCGACTCAGGACGGGAAAATTGGGCGGAATCAAGCGCCGATTAAAAACTAGCGCGCTAGTTCAAAGACGAAATTATAAAGCGAACAATTTTCCGCATTATCCACGACAGTCATAAACGTAATGATCCCTCTCTTTCCGGTGGAATCCGGCCCATTGCATGAATTGATTGCCCACCGGTAAAAAGAAAAAAAAAAGTGCGTCACATTTTCAAGAAGAAAAAAAAACACCAGTCTTTGTTGGAATGGAATTGTGCAGGACATGATGGATTCAGGTAATTAACCGCGTTTTCCGGAATTTTGAAAGCATCAATTTTCCAAATGAGAGGGACTCGATATTTATTGAAATCGACAGTCACAAAATATTCTGAAAAGGATCCATTGGAAGATGTGATCAATTTTTTTCTCGATCAACTTTTTCACTTACGAGAGTAGCGCCCGTTTCGAAGAAATTTGACCGTAAATGTCAGCTGCCAAGGTGAAGAATTCGACGGTCACCGCATTCTTGACAAACTGGAACATGACGAAAAAACGCAAAATACAGTGCATCATCATGCAGTATATATTTTCAGACACCAATCTGAATGAAACACATTGTGTCAAAAATCATTCAACACGTATTCTAAGCTAAAACGTCTCAATGCCCGCTATGTTCGCAAATTTTAATCTAAATTGGTCAGGAAATTTCCATCAATTTTCTTGATTCGTCCGTTTTCCAGGAATTGCGGCGAACAAGATAATTAACTCGTGAAAATAAACTAACATAACTCATTCAACACTTTATCGACCAAACGCTAATCACACTAATCGTAACTTTCACAACTTGATGAATCAATGTTATAAAACAAACTGTATATTGTACTACCATTGCATTACACGAATTAAATCTGAACGAGCATGAACCCCAAAAAACAAGTGTAGCGTCTAATTTCATAATCGTTGAAAACGAAATAGAGCGAAATATTTTATTACTGTATTAGGATAGTGAAATGCAATCGAACCGCCTGAAGGCGAACTTCAAGGAATAAGAACACATTTTGAGAAAGGAGACGTCGTCTTATGGAAACAAGCATTTTTAGGGGGGGGGGAGAAAGAATGACAAGGGATTGTAATTGATGATATTCTAGGTCTTGAATTGCTTCTTAAATGAATTGATAGGATGCTGAACTTGTAAGCAAGGGTTCATTTGCTCAATTCGTCTTCAACTTCATTTCAAAACACATCAAGGTACATTTTTGGGTGTTTCCTCTTCCTGTGTCAATTAAACGATAGCCAAAAGGCTTCCAGAAAATTCCGAGTTTCGGATACTGTATTTGTGGGAAGTTTTGAAAGCATCGTTTCTAAATGAATTCACACAGGAACTTGACAAAAAAATCGATTTATGGAGGTACAGCATTCGACTTGAGGAGATTAGCGTCGTAGACGAGGTTCAACCTCTCATCACAATATTTTCCCCCCTCAGATTCGGGATAGATGACGTGCAAACCGACTTCAAAACTGACAACAACTTCCAGCCACAGAGGAACCCACCAAAACTCAAGATTTCGAACAGCAATTTACGAATATAGGTCGAAAAAAGACGAAATTTTCTAACGCAAATGCAGTCAATGCCTCATTTACAGACACGCCTTCGAAATGTTGTTACAAGACAGCTGAATAGATGCTTCATGATTTCGCAGATTTTTACATGGTCCGCGCAAGAGCACCTCAACTGAGCACAATTCTCCAGATCGATGCGACTGCTTTGCAGCCTAAACGCGAGGATATATCCTACTCTCATGTCCCAAATTAACCAAGAAATTTATTTCACACTAAAAATTAACGGTAAAATATCATCAGCGTGCCAAGAGTGGTAAAACAAATGAGAGAGAGAGATAGATAGAAGAAAATCTGGAAAGATGGGTTGCACATTGGGTCCTCAAGTAACGTACGCCTTAAGGCTTAAGCAGATAACTTTTTAAATAACGAACCCGCACACTGCCGCCATTTTGTATTAGGTACAGTACCAAACTTGACTTGAGAAACAAACCTCAAGTCAACGGAAAAACCTTTAAAATCCAAATAAAAATTAAGGCGAAAATTTGCAAAATCTGAAATTCTTCAATCAAGATTCAATTCTCATGGGAGAATTCAAAGGGAAATTCGAAGGTAAATTTCAATTAGGTATTGTATATTTTAATGTCGTTTCTGCCCCCAGTTGAAATGCTACAAATCATTTCTAAGTTGAACATATTAGTGGTTGCTATTTTTCCTCGTAAATTTTATTTGCTTTTTTTCTTTTTCATAGGAATCAATTTGGCTCGAGAAAATCAATTGATTTCCCATAGGTTACTAAGGCAAATCCTGACTTGCATATCAAACATAATGAGCAATGAACTAGCCATTTACATCCAAATTTTGGGCCCAATTGTACAGTTAGACCCCAAAATTCAAACAATTTGACTCGGGGACACTTGAAACTCATAAAAATATGCCCAAACATATTCTAGACAGTGGCTCAAGATAGGGACTAGGGACATTTTGCAGACATTTTCTGGGGGGGGGGGGGGGGGGAAAAAATTTCAATATTTAGTTTGATTTATCTTTAACAAATAGAGCTACAGTAATCATATACATGAAAATTGAAAATAAATTTCATTATAAATTCACTTTAATTCACAATTAAAAACAGGCTGAATTTGTCCTTTCTTCAAAAATGTTTTTTCCATCATCTCTGCACAGTGCAGCAAGACTTGTGCTCGCTCTTTGCTTTTTGAGGTCCTTTTGATGCCAAAAGATCAGATTCTTTGTGGTTTTCTTCTCCACCGTTGTTTTCTGCATCTTGAAATTGAGGGAAACAATTTTTTTTAATTTTGGGAGAATTATTCCTCAGTTTTGCTAAACACCTGAACAGGAAAACCAATCAAATATGTTTGCATCAAAGTCCATATAGGAAAGCATGATCCAACATGCAAACCATTCTGACATATAAGGGACAAGGCCCCGGCACCAATTACGTCCGCATCTCGGGGCCCACCCCAGTACAGTTATTCGCACAAACCTCGCGTCCAGCACATCACACTCGCCCCTCAACCCCTCCATCGCGGAAGCATCATCATTTCTCCTCCATTTGCGGTACACAAGATCTCGTCTGCATCCCCTCCTCTCCTCTCCTCTCCTCTCCTCTCTCCACCGCCCAGTTACTGCACTTTATCAAAGAAAAGGAACAAAAAAAAATTCGATAAGATGGCGCCTGAAGGAGGCACCCGAGTTTGTCACCATGACCGCGGGGAGCTGACACAGCATGAATCAACGGCGCCGCGACGCGTCATTTCCGGCACTTTTATCGGGCCCTCGAGAAAACCCGGACTGGGGGGGGGGGGAGCAGTAGAGGCAAGAAGGAGAAGAGCGGAAAGAACCCAGCATCTTCCAGGCAGGCCAAGAAAAGAGAGAGAGAGAGAGAGAGAGAGAGAGGAAGCTCAGATGAGGCCCCCACGGAGAGAGACAGGCGACGAGGACGACGACAACGACAGCATGGAACAGATAAATAGACAGATGAGAACACACAGAGAGTGAATGGAAGGAAGGAAGGAAGGAAGGAGGAAGCCAGGGGAGAAGGAATACAAAATAAAAAAATAAAAGAGAAAGGCAGGAAGGAAGGAGTCACGCGCAACATCTCGCGACGTGCAACAGATGGCTCTTCCGGTTCTCGTCAGTCTCCGCCCCGGAGTTCGAGAGTGAACACATTGATTTTCCGCCACGACGCCGTAAAGACACTCTCGCCCCTCTTTCAAGGTTGCCGCGTACCCCGCGAAAATAGTATACCCCCGCCACCCTCTTCATGAAAAGTAGCAGCAAGAAGAAAAAACGCCCAGCAAAAAATAACATAATCTTGCTGCTCATTATTGCATGGGACACAATTATTTTCAACAGGTGATTTCTGCGGCAACAAATAATAACGATCGCAAAAATCGCACGCAATGGGAATAGAGTATATTTTCCCAAGGTGATCAGGGTTTCCAGAAAGTAATCACCCATAATCAGCACAGGGTTACTTAATCCGAGAGATCATATTTTGGGCCTTATTTGTGCTTTGCTTCACAAAAATATCCCAAAAGAATCTTAAAAAATCATTAGGTTTAAAATACAGCTAACCCGTTCCCCCAAGTATCACGGACCCTTGCGTAAGATACCCACCTTAGTTTTTTACTTGATATAATCCAAAGAATCTTAAACCCGCACAAGATGCACGTCTTCTAAGATTTTGGTCTTCTCAGGTACATATTCATTTTCACCATGTGGGGTACACAGTATTTCTAAATTAAAAACTGAGCTCCACTCGGCTGTTTTGTTTCATATGAATTACAGTATCTTTGAAAACATAACTATGAAAGTTATTTTTCAAGTTGGGATATTCTTTTAATGAAAAATATACTCAATGTAATTCATTCATGACTAGGGCCCAATTTTCAAAGAATATCTGTACTCAAACTGTTATACAAACCTTGCTTTTTCTATAATTAAAAAAGGTGTACATGGAACTTAAATATACAGTACATGATAATACAGTCAGACCCCATTCAAAGTTTAACTTCAAGGGACCTACTGACAAATTTGAGTGAGGGAAGCAAGCATTTTTGTTGGGGTACAGGAAGAATTGCAGGGCATTGTAATAGGTAATATTCTGGCCAGAAATTTATTTTTCAATGAAGTTACAGGATACGAGGCAAGGGTTCATTTGGCCAATTAGTCTTTCAATTCTTTGAAATTATACCTTTATTGTCTTTCTCTGTCCTGCATCAATAAAATACTGTAATAGACAAAAAGCCATCTAGAAAATTCGGGATACGGAGGTTTGAGAAAAATAACTTAAGAGTTGGGAAGGTTTCTAATGTATTGTTTCTACAGGAATTCAGATAGGAACTTAAATAAAATTTTACATAGGGAAGTATTTGACTTGATAGGGTTTGAGGTTCTGAGGTAAACCTGTACTGAAAGAACCCTGAAAATACACCAAATTGTTCCATTTGATCAAATTTCGAGAGTTTCCAACGAGTAAAAATTTAGACGCGTGATGCTTCCCATCTGGGAAGTCTTCTCCTGTCACCTATACCCCACTACTTCCTGCACCCCATTTCCCGTTTTTGTAAACTCCTCACAAGTAACATGCACCAAAAAACCCTTATGAACCACACCAACTCATACCCCTCTTACACAGCGTAAAAATAACAGAATAAATTGCCTTGGCGGTGTCTTAGTTGAGAAGACCCGAAAGCTTCCGGCTCTGATATAAACATCCACGTTTATTGACGGTAGTGGGGGAGGTCTTAGATCAAGTTACAAACACTTCCCCGACTGGCAAATAAGCAAACCGCGTAGTTACTTGGGAGGCGCAGGAATCTGAGACATTGAAAAATATCTCGGGTTTCAGTCATTGCGAGTGATGAATTCATCCAGGGACAATTGCGGGTGATCATCTACGCAGGTTTGCTCGTGCAAAAGATTATACAGTGAGACCCCCACATGCAGACACCTCAACATGA